CCGTGTTCAATGAACCAAACTACACAGCTCAGTGTCCTATACCCAGTTGCCTTGGGAAACAAAGTAAAAGTATAATAGGAATGATAATGAATCAGTCTGCCAAATTAAGGGCAAGCTACTCATCTCTGGAGGAAAGGAACTGCAGCAGGAGAAAAACAGCAGGGGAATAAAAGAGCAGAAAACAGTGATAACACATAAGGACCTGCACACCTACCCATCCATCTAAACACTTTTCTTTTAACATACTTGCTAGCACCACCCAAGACCAAATTATGCCATAACCATGTTTTCTGGCAAGGTCAAGACATCAGATTCAGCCCATAGACTACCTGAATTCTGACAGTGAAGACAACAGAGTTATTCCAGATATGCACCTCTGGGAATGATCTCAGAATCTGGCTCTACATCTTTAATAATTATTTTAAAATATATGAATACAATGGGATATTGATTTATTTCAGAGAAGATGTTTTTAAATTCCCTGCTATAGAAAATGACAAAAATAAATGTACCCTGCAAAGTGTTTTTAGCAAATATCTGTCTACTGGGGTGTGAAAAACAAATAATGGATATGTATGCCCAAAATGACACAGAAGCCTTACAATCTGTATAGCCAGATAGTATTGTGCAAATAGACTATTTCCCAAACATAGGGGGAGGGGTGATTGGCAAAAAACAAATGTTTTTAAAGGCGCAATGAAACAACAGAGATGTGGCTCAAGTAATGAAAACATGTCTTCTTTTCCATTTGACTAGAGATGACTTCTCTCATTCCTAGCATCATTTTCACAGGTGAGACAAATGCAGATGTGCTGCTTTGGGAAGCTCAGACTGTGGAGATAGTTCCAAGAGCCTGAGAAATAATTTAAAAACTTAAGCATCAAGCCTGAAGTGAGTCAAGTATGTGCTAAAAACAGATCCAATGAAACTAACATGGAATACAAGTACTGTGTTATATAATCCAAGAAACCAAATATTATTTAATTGCATACAACTATAAATGAAAACCACGTGTTTCTATTATAGCTATTTTAGTGTGTCACGTTAAACTGTTCAAATCCTTCAGAAAATACAATTTTTCAGATGAGTGGCTTATGCGTGTAACTGATGAAAAATTATTGGAGACTCTTCTTCTGCATAAAGTGTAATGCCACCTGTTAAATCTAAATCACAGTGAATCAAGTGAATTTAAAAAGAAAAGTTACCAGTGGGGAACTAGCCTTGTGACAAATTACATGGAAAATCATTAAGGATCTGACCCAAAGCCCACTGAAATCATTGGGAGTCCTTCCATTGACTTCAATGGGCTTTGGATCAGGCTCTAAAAGAGCTGTCAAATCATCAGTTCCACTTCACAGGATAATGCTGATGATAAATGTTTCTTGCTGGAAAGAAGAAGTTTTATCCTGCAGCACTTAATCAGCACATGAAGGTAATTTCCCAGGGAGAAGTGAAAAGACAGCAAACCTCTCAACAGTATCATGTTCATGCAGGGAGAAAAACCTGATCCTGCCCACTTCCTAATTTCAAATCATTCCAGATCATGTTCATGAGCAACTGAACTGTGTACATGTTTCTAATTCCAATGCCATTAACAACAGCAAACAGAAAAAGGGAAGAGAAATAAACTAGCTAAGGTGACCACCTGTCTTGTGTCTTAAAGATATCCATAATTTAGCAAGACACTTAGGTTCAATTCATGAAAGCAGCCCTCTTCAACAAAGCACTTAAGCACATGCTTACATTTAAGCTGTTGCTTAAGTCCTATAGACCTCACTGTAGACAAAGGAGGGTGTGAGAGAGAGGGAGAGACTGAAAGGGCGGTTGGTACTAAAAGAAGAGATTTATTAAAGCTCCAGAAAGTTTACATTTCTTAACTCTGCCCTTTCATTTCCTAAGATCTCCCATTTTATGACTCCCTAATGCGTCTCTACGTCCAATGGTTTTTGAGGAGTTTCCTACCCCACCCTCATGTCTGCCTGATGATAGCACAATTTCTGTCAGACACACACACTGCTGCCAAGTGTAGGAAAAAATGCTTTTGTTCTATGTTAACATCTCTCCTCTAGATTCAGTCCACATGGTTCAGGCTTACAGCACAAGTGTTTTAGGGAGGAATTGAGACTCACTCAGCGATAAGGCTGGCACAGCCCATTTTCCATATTCATGTGCTTGCATGTGTGGTTACTTCAGCAAGGAGAGCATAGATGGAAAGTGCACCCTGCTTTACCTTCCTCACATACGAAATAATGTGACATCGGGGTGAAAGAGAGATAGTTGGCATAAAAGGAAAGAGAATTAGTCTGGCAGCAGCAAGAAGATCTGAGATATCAGAAAGAGGACGAGGGAACTGGAGCTACAGTTGCTCCTTTTCCTCTCCAGTGAGTGGCATAGCTGAAGCCCACACCATCATTTTTTCCACAGCTTTGTGCTCTAAGTGGACGAGAAAGAGCAATGATTTGATGATCTGGCATTTGGGTACCAAACAGTGAGATGAGCCGCCTCCACATTAGCTAGGTGCAAATAGCACCTGTGTCTGTTCGTACATCAAGGGAGATGATTGGGGGGGAGGGGGAGAAAGTGAGGGGGGAGAAATACTAAACACATGAAATATAAAAAAGTTACAGCTAGAGAGGGGTCTGACCTGGCACATCGGATGAGAACATCCTCAGACTTTAGGGAAGTTCAGATCTGGATCTGAATTTGAACTCTGCACCTCATACCTATCTCTGCTTACTACAGCTCACTCAAATATACAGCAGAAATGAAGTAAATAGTACGCCTAAAAGAGTGTGAGGAATTATGAAAACAGCCAAGTATCGAGCAACACATGCAGTGAGAAATAATACTAAACATCGAATCCTGAAATTATTCTCATTAGTTAAGCATTGAAAATGTGTTGGACCTGGTATAAGATATATCAAGACAGTCCCTGCCCCAAAGAGCTTGCAGTATAGATGACAAACAGACTCATATTATAAGGCTGGAAGGAACAATTGTGATCCTCGCCTAGTGTGACCTCCTGAGTGGCACAGACCACAGGACCAATAGGATAGCCAAGGCACACTGGGAGAACCAGGGCAAAGAGTTACCTTATTTAATCACTGGCCCTTTATTATTTCCATTTTTTTTTCCAATTGTGGACTATACAGAAGAAGTGGGGCTTTAGGAGAGATCTGAATGAAGAGAGGCACACAGGGAGCAGGAGGTTACTCCATGCATAGGAGGCAGCATGAAGGTGGGAATGGGAGAAGGAAATGAAGAAGTCATTGTTGCTGAAACAAAGGAGGAGTGGGAAATGTGAGGAGAGATCAGATACGTAGGCTCAGGCAGACCTTTGCAAATTCATTCACATTAATTAAATGAAAGCTTGTAGCTGATGGTAATACACAAATTTACATTTGTACGAATACTCTTAATACTTTCACTGGTTCAAATTGTACTCAGCAAAATATTTGATAATATTCTGTAAGGAACAATTCTGCATTGGCCTGAATGACCAAATGGGTCTTTTACAGGTCTAATTTCTAATCAGTCGAATCCTGAGGTTGATGGAAGATTCGTCCAAACAAGGAATGATTAAAAACTGAGTAAGGACTTCAGGGTTTGGCGCAAACAAAACAAAACTTAGGGGCAAGTTATGTAAAGGAGAGGCTCATGAAACCTACCGAGTCAGCAATAACTGGATCATTAAAATGACTGCTTGCAAATGTCCACTATTGAAAAGCAGATGTTTGCACAGTGAGATCTGCGAAGCTTTCACCTGCTCAGCTGGAGTGAAGGAGTCTCATAGTATTTGATTTGTCAGTTGACCCTCTTCATAATGTACACAAAATGAAGTAATCAAATAGTAAAGAAATGCAGTTATAATTCATTCTTTCCCCCCAAATCCCAGCGTCTGTTTTTCAAACGCCAGGAGGAGAGTAGGAATGAACTGACAAGGTACATTCAGCTATGTTTTTGAATCAGACGTGGTTGTTTAAACACACAGTTCCTATTAGAGCTAACAGGAGCTGGGCCCAAATCTACCACCTTTATATTTTCCACACTAGCCTCCATTTCATGCTTGTTTCCAGGTCTTCAGCCCAAGCTCCACTCGAACATCAAACTAGTATGGGTTTTCTATCTTAAAGGGTTTTTCATTTTTCAGTTCTCACTCATTCTGGTCTCATTTCTATTTTTATTGTCTCTGCTCAGTAGCAGCAGCAGCAGAGCAATTGTGTAGCAAAGGGGTAGTTATAGTCTAAACTGGAGCTACTTAGACCACTCGCATTTATACTGGTGTCCTTCTGCCTCTTCAAATAATTGGTGAAGGCTTCCATATATGGAGGTTTCCCATTGACATCCCAAGAGGATCAGGCTTTCACCCATGGGACTCTAAAGATATATATGCTGGTAAAATGAGTTGCATGATGTATGTACAAGTTTAGTTTTTTTCTTCTGGGGAAATATTATGCCTGGAAATGAGAAAATAAGAGGTGATTCATTTTCTGTGTCAAAAACTCTCTTCCTCTTTCAAGGAAGTTAATTCAATAACAACATTACTTATAAATAGCGGTACAGAAGCCTTGTTCGGGAAATACCTCAACAGCTTTTCCAACTCACTGTAGAGGTGCTTTACACCGTTCTGTTTTGTATCTAATACATCATGTTCAAATATATTCATGTCTGGAAACTAAAAACAGAAATTAAGGAGACACACGCTTGTGTTCCATTGGTGGTGGGCAGACCCTTTGGGTAAATAAGAATCCCTTGAAACGCTCTACCTGTTTTTCGACTCCACCTGAAATTGGAGCTTTTTTAAGCTATGAAGTGGTTTGATATGAGGTTTTGAAAAACTTAGATTGCAAATTTATACAGTCAGGGTGTGTCTCCCCCTACGTCTGTACAGAGTCTAAGAGTCACAGATTCCGATTTGGGGCCCTTAGATGCTATTTTATTATTTATAAGAAGTGGTACTGCAGGCATATTTTATTTTTTTAATTCTTCCTCCCTCTCAGGTCCTTCATTCACCTCAGTCTGATTGCACCCAACCTCTGTGTTAATGCTGGGTTCTTGAATACTTGAACTCCCTCTTTCCAAGGTATACCTGATCCGGTGACTTATATGATAATTCATTATAGGATAATATGACATAAGCTTTTTGTGAAAGTGACTAATGCTTTTGTTGAGCAATACAATGATTCCTCTCCAGTAATGCTCCTTTTACCTCAAGGAAAAGACTCTCAAACACTCTGCCACTACTTCAGTCTCAGGATGGTTTGAAATCCCCAGTCATCAATGAAGATAATGAAAGCTGAGAGAAGCAGGCAGCATAGAGACAACAAAGCAATGAGCACCTACCAAGGCACTTAGTCACTGTAGCTTCTATAGATTCTTGACAGCATAACAATAATGACAGCAGGGCCTAATTTGTCATTGCCAGGCACTTGTTTAACATTTCACCTACTTTGCACAGATGTGAATGACTATACAAGGAGCAGGACAATGGAAAGTTGGGCCCACAATATTTAGGGAAGATTTACATTGTGAGACCTAGGTGGATTTCAAATTAAAATTACATACATTTAGAATAACTTAAAATGAGTTCAAATTTGCCTGACCTTTTCCCCCTGCGAATGTGGGGAGAGGAAGTCATGTAAGTCCCTCTTGGGTCTCAAAGGATTTCAAAGGAACCAAACCATTGCATGTTCCCAAAAGAGGGACTGGATTTGGGTGGGAATTCAGTTCTAGGTGATAATAGCCCCTATAATCCCTGTCTTAAAGAGTTTTTTCAGGCTACAACATTAGATTCTGCTATTACTATTCTGTTTTTACTAACTATAATTCTAGAGGCCCCAGGACTTGCACTGAGGCATTCCCATTAGTTCTACTACCATCAGTAAGGATTCTTATCCTAAAAGTTGTCTGTTTTATCTGCCAGGTGTCTGAAAAGTAGCATCACCTCGCCTTTTGCCTCAGAGATCTCCCCAGAACTCCTCAGATTTTACTCCTGTATATCCTAAAAAGATTTAAATGATCTGCTTGCGACCAAGTCTTTAAATGTCTTCTGCTCTCCACACCCTATCTAGGCCATGTAGCTGTTCTCCATCTATTTTTAGAAGGAAGTTTCTCCAAACTGGAGCTTCCTGATAAAGAAACTGGGGCTTCTTTAGCACTGTTTGACCATCTCCACGCCTCCCAAGAATAGGGTTATTAATAGCTATCAATAAATTAACTTGCCTCAGCACGTCAGAGGTGGCAAAGCAAAAATGTGCCTGGTTCTTTCTTTTAACCTCATCCTGAACAGACAGCAATACATCCAAAACACATGTACCATTGCAGGGTCAATATGAAATCCCAGTGATCTAATTTAAATAGACCAAATTTTGAAATCCTTGATATTTTACTATATCTTTATTCAGGCTAAACTCCCACTGGAGTCAATAGCATAAAATCTGCATGTGGATTTCGGGATTTTGCCTCATGACTTTATTGCATGAAAAGGCAGTGAAATGTTGCCAAAGTAGAGCTGGCAAACTCAGGTTGTCAGCTGCTTTGGAAAGCTGAAGGGGTAGTTGATATTATTCTAAGTTAAATATGTTTTCTTTGTTTAAACATTGCCACACTTACCTGACAAGCTTCAGGTAAAAAAACAATATATATATTGCCCACATGAATTCCATTCAACATTTTAGCTTTTTTTTCTTTTTTAAAAACAGAAGAACCCCTCACTCCCTAACCACACATACAATGTTTATCTCCACCTTTCAGGAACCAGGAAATCCAGTGTGGAAGCTGATGGTACACAGTGTTCTGAACTCACTTTGCCATTGTTTTCTCCACAGCAGCATGAGTTAATGATATAAAGAAGTTCAAACGTCAAACGTTTTGGCTGTGAATTTTTATGTCACAACCATACTGCAATATATGCATTATTGTTTGTATTGTTGTATTCTTTAGTTACCGAGTTAAACTCTAGTGCCTGTGCATGCACATTCAAGGACAGGATTTGGCCCACAAGTGGGTTGGCTGAATTACACAGCAATACTACATACAATATATGCTGAACAACGTATCCAAGTACAATACCATTAGATCATAAAGCTAATGTTTGATCTGAGCTTGATTTAAAGCACTAATTTCAAACCTTCTTAGTTTCCATGAACAGACAGATTTTGTATAGCAGAAGTAAATCGATATCTTATTTGGTTATGAGACTATTTTATAAATGCTTAATTTTTTAAAAAAAATATAAACTACACAATAAAATACAGGCCTTAGGAGAACATGAGAAAAAATAAAGGAATTTCTTTATTATTATTTTTGAAGGAAAGCAGACAATGCAGAAGGAATTAAATACGATGAAAAATGAGGATGTATGTTTCAATGTTGACAAAATACACACATCACACTGCCTGCAGCCAGTGGAGCCTGATGTGAAGTCTCACAGAACTGCACCACTCAGTGAAGAATTCAGGGCACAGCTTGCACAGTTCCAGTATGGTCCTTCCCTGGGGGATATAGAAACCTTTCACGGATCCTTAGAAGGAGGGTCCCGGAAACGCAAAAGCATGCCCACAAAAATGCCTCATACTATCCCTACGGGAGATCCTACGTCACCATCACACAGATCTGAAAACAACAATGTATGCTCCCCCAGTCTTCCTTTGATGTACCAACAACCCACACAGCCCAAATATAACTCCCAAATGATTGATCTGTGTGACATTGGCTTTCAGTTCTACAGAAGTCTGGAGCACTTTGGAGCCAAGCCCATTAAACAAGAACCAGTAAAGCCCAACATGATGTGGCCCAACACTCCTGCATTTGTGCAGACTCCTTACTCTTATTACCCAAAAGTCCACCCTGGCCTGATGTTTCCTTTTATTATGCCCCCAAACTTCCATTTCAGGAATTCCTTCCAACTGAAAAGATCCCCGGAGCCAGCATTCAGGAGGACTGAACTGAGGGAAAGTGGTGACAATAAACAGAAGGTGGAAAGAGTAGATGTCAACCTCCAGATTGATGACAGCTATTATGTTGATGTAGGGGGAGAACAAAAACGATGGCAATGCCCAATGTGTGAAAAGTCCTACACTTCTAAGTACAACCTGGTCACCCACATCTTGGGACATAGTGGCATCAAACCTCATGCTTGCACTCGGTGTGGCAAGCTTTTCAAGCAGCTGAGTCACTTGCACACTCATATGTTGACACACCAAGGCACTCGACCACATAAGTGCCAGGTGTGTCACAAGGCTTTCACCCAAACCAGTCACCTGAAGAGACATATGATGCAACACAGTGACATCAAGCCTTACAACTGTAGGATCTGTGGCAGAGGTTTTGCCTATCCAAGTGAGCTGAAAGCCCACGAGTCCAAGCATGAGAGTGGCCGAGAGAACATTTGTGTTGAGTGTGGTCTTGACTTTCCAACCCTGGCCCAGCTGAAGAGACACTTAACAACCCATCGAGGTCCTATACAATACAATTGCACAGAATGTGATAAAACTTTCCAGTACCCAAGCCAGCTGCAAAATCACATGATGAAGCACAAAGACATCCGTCCATACATCTGTACTGAATGTGGCATGGAGTTTGTGCAGCCCCACCATCTCAAGCAACACTCTTTAACCCACAAGGTAAGTCACTAATGGTTACATGTGCCCCGGCTCTGAACGCCAGCACAAGGCTTATGCACCATTAAAGTCCCACTTAAGTCCCCCAAAATAACTGACATGGTGTACAGGCCCTTGTAGAGAGAGGCCCTTTGTATGGATCTGAATTTTATGCAAAGAGAACAAGAACAGTATGGCCAATAACAGAAACTGGCTCTAGTCTTAACAAAGGCAATGAAAGAAAAAGACCATAACCAGGAGTTCAATCAAGTTGTTTGTATTACTTCCCAAATTTAAATTCACATTCTCTGCTCCAGTTTGGTTTTTATCTTCATGAAAACCATAGTTTTGTATAATCTTTAGCAGTGAAACTTCTACAGAACTTTTTTATAGCTGTGAATAGACAAGTATATTACTGCTTGGCAGATTTTGTATAAGCAGCTTCTGCACTACATTTAGAAAAAACAAACCAACCTCGGCCATGTTATGCAGAAATAATCCAGAGTACAAGTGACTAGAACTGGGCAAAAAGGACCTGATCCAAAGCCCATTGACATCAATGGGAGTCTTTGCACTAGCATCAATGGGTTTGAGATTAGGTGTATAATTTGGAATGAATAACTGAAGAATTCTTTTAAAACAGAAACGAGTTTTCAGCGTGATGTGTAACAACTGAAATCAGAATTATCCCAACATCACAAACGTATTGTAAGGATCAATTTTAATCTAACAATCAAAAGGCATTTTAATAGACTAATGCTGATAAACTAATGAACACATCCTTATATTTTATGAAGAATTGCTTTCAGATTTGTGTTTTCCCCCCAGTGGTCTACTTTGGGTTAATGTTTAAATTTAAACATTAAGAACACAGAAAATTGCAAAATTTAAGTATTATAAGCAAATTTTTTAAAAAACAATCTCTATTTTCACTTCTGGTTTTCTTCCCATTTCCCCTACTGTCGCTTCTGTAGGACCAACCCTTCTTTGGCTTTACTCTATAATTTTAAACTTACCTAAAAGTCTAATAAAAACTTCCAATTAAAAAATGCAATACCCTCTTGCCCAAGAAAGCCTCTACTTTTCTCCCACAATTAGTCAGGTTGTGAGCACAGTTTAAGTACTTAGCTGTCTAACTGCCTGAGTGCAGCCTCAAATCAGGTAGTTGTGTATCTCAAAGCTATCATTCGTTCCACAGTTAATGTCTTATGCCTAGGGATGGTCAATAATCCCCAGGAAATGCCCAGTGCCACTAATATTATTTCTTAATTGCATGACTCTTTGCTTCTTACAAAAATTGAGCAGGTACTATTTTTCCATATTTTTCTTCAAAACAGAGGCAGGTTCTTTCTTTGTTACACAGGGCTTGATCCAATACCCACTGAAGTCAAAGTCTTGCCATTGACTTCAACAGGGATTATCCCAGGCTCATCGTTATCAGATGTTGGAAAGTTATTTTATGTCTCACTTAATAAATTTATACATGCTTGACATGCTATTGGTATACATGCAATTGGTAGATAAGCTATACAGTAGGGTAGCAGAATTTTGCCATTGGTTTGTCATTTAGGTGTCCTAGTGATATTAATACAGAGTAAAATTTTCAAAAGCAAGCGACAAGCTACTACAACCCATTTTCTAAAAGGAGTTAGATCGGGGGGTTCTCAAACTGGGGGTTGGGACCCCTCACGGGGTCGCAAGGATATTATACGGGGGGTCACAAGCCTCCGCCCCAAACTCCACTTTGCCTCCAGCATTTATAATGGTGTTAAATATATTAAAAAAGTGTTTTTAATTCTAAGGGGGGGGCCCACTCAAAGGCTCGCTATGTGAAAGGGGTCACCAGCAGAAAAGTTTGAGAACCACTGAGTTAAATACTTCTGAAAATTTTTCCCACAGTGTTGTATAATCATTTCTCACCACTAATAAAATCAAATGATATTCTTGTAGCCTACAGGATGGTCTTGTGCCTAAGGCACAGAACAGAAATCAGGAGACCTGGGTTCAAGTTTAATGGCTCTGCCACAGACTTTCTGTGGGACCTTAGGAAAGTGATTTCACTTCCCCATGCCTTGGTTTTCCCCCATGTGTGAAATGGAGAACATGCTCCCCTACATTGATGTTCATAAAGTGCTCTGTGATCCTTGGATGAAAGCACTATAGAAGCTCAAAATATTATCTAAACAGAGTTTGAAAGCTGAGGCAGAATAACCTGATATGACTACTCTGTAAAACTTATTGAGGGAAGTGCCACTTATTGTTCCTCAGTCCTACTAATACTGTTTTATGGTATAGACATTTTATGGTTTCTTTTTCCACCTTTTAGAATCTTACAGAAATTGACCAGAAGAAAAAAGTATCCAAATATCTGCCACTTCAGCAGGGTGATGTTAACAAGAATTGAACTTATTCATTGCTTCACTAGCACAGCTTGAATATATATTCATATAATGGCTTTGAAAATAAATGACTGAAAAAGGCACACCTATTCAGTTTTCTGACTCTCTGTTTCCATAAGGGTGTGAAAGAGCACAAATGTGGGATCTGTGGCCGGGAGTTTACTCTGCTAGCCAACATGAAGAGACATGTGTTGATCCACACCAATATCCGAGCCTACCAGTGTCACCTGTGCTTCAAGAGCTTTGTGCAGAAACAGACTCTGAAGGCACACATGATTGTTCACTCTGATGTCAAGCCCTTTAAATGCAAGGTAAGCATTTGTCATGAGTTTGCAGAGGTACAAAATCAGTGAATGCTCCCAAGATTTCATTACATGTGGCTGGATGCAATTGGAAAAGCAATGCCAAAAAGAATATTACATCTTTTTTCAAATTCACTTTTCAAAATAATTGTTTGGTTTCTTTTCTTAATCCAAGTAGTTTCAGGGCAGGAATAACATTCAAAAAAGGGGCAGGAGAATTTCCAGATTATTTTTCATTCCCCCCACCACCCTTATATATTATCAGTGTTCTTAATCTTGAAATTGTATTTCGTCCTTAGTGAGTACTGAATGTAGTTGCTAGACTGATAATGATAATAAAAATACCTGACATTTATCTGGCATATTTCATTCTAAAGTGTTCAACAGCCTGAAGACATTGATCCCAGGAGTCACAGAAATGTACCAACATTAACACTGCCCCATAATTCTACACCATAGCTGGTTCAGGACACAAAGTACATCATAGCATAACAGAACTACAGGGAGATTTTGAATAGGCCAAAGGTAATTGCCCCAAACTGAAATTTGGCCAGGACATTAGTATCCGAACAAAACAGCCTTCTGAAAAATACTTGTTTGCCTCTTCATGGCGTCAACCAAATAACATAGGATCATCTTAGGCAGGATTGCTACCTACCTCCCTCAAGACAGCACATGGGAAATTAAAGAGATGTAAAGCACACCTAGATTTGAACTTCCCGTAAGTTTGGAGGCATTTAGATTTGTGGTTCTGGTTTACACCCATCTCTAATTCATAGGGAAGACGTGATTCAAGTTTCTTTTCCTGCTTAAGGCTGGCCTGTACAATCCTCCTTTTTGATTCTTTTATGTATTACTTCTTTTAACTGCCCACATGGCTCAGTAATATAGCTTTATCTTAAAATGCCCAAACTTGCATGTTTCATTCTCACTTGGGTAACTATTAAGCACACAGTCACTGAGTGCAATATAAATGCCTAGCAAGCAATATTTTCCAGTTTCTGCATAAACACCTGGAGATTGATCTGGATACAATCTCTGTAAATTCTTCATTCAACAGTCTGGAACTAGATCGGTTCTTAAGGGAAACCAAGAGTAGAGCTAATCAAAAAATTTTCAATTAAATAGTTTTCTGTAGGAAAATGCAGTTTTGCCAAAATCAAAATGTTTAACAGGAATATAATTATTTCAATTAAAATTTTAAATGGGAAGAAGTCAAAACAAATTGTTTCAACTTTCTTGTTTTGTTTCAATAATGTTGAAACATTTGTTTCGACTTTATCATTTCAATTCTGCTTGTTCATATTTTTATATTTTACAATATTATTTAATTTTATTACAATGATAGTTAACATTATAGCATACTGTATTTAATGTTATATTCTATTGTTCTGATATTACCAAAACAAAATGATTTTACTTTATCAAAACAAAATGTTTTGATGGTACCAAATACATAATTTTTAAAATTTTTGATCTATGGGAAATTTCAAAAATTTCAGCCTTTTGTTCTGATTCAGATTAAACTGGAGTAGTAAGCAACATGTTTTTCAGCTAGTAGCAAAAGCTTCGGTGGAACACCTGTTTTTTTCCTATCTCCACCCAATATCCCCTCTCAGAACAGAAACAAGTAAGTGTTGTGGTTCAGATTCTTCCCACAACACTGGTGTGAATCAGAAGTAATCCCTCTGACGTCAAATGGAGTTGTACTGCTATAAGTGAGGGGTATATCAGGGCCCCTAGCTTTAGGGATATCCCTTGCCTGTCTGGCAGAATCCCCAAAGGAAACTTGGATTAGTCAAGCCCTTTTGGATTCAGAGGGTTAAGGCAATGGTATTCAGAGGGTTAAGGCAATGACCAGATAGCAGCCTTTTGGCACCAAGCTCCTCCTCAGCAGAAGGAAGGATATAGCTGCATGAACTGCCTGCTTAACAATGGCTCATATGTCCCTAGGGAACCGCCTGCAAATAGATTTCATCTTGCTTTCTCTTGTATTTTTCAAAGCTTCCTGTTTTCTCACGGTCCTTTTGGACAGTTTACAGTCTTTCTCCCTCTCCCTCTCTCTCTGTGAGGAAAGGAACACCCTTCTTATGAAGAAAAAAAAATAAAAGAAGAAGAATGTAAGGGAAGGACAGCACAGCAGTGGCCTTTCTATCTCACTGCAGGCCGCAATTTTCGTGGCTTTTTTCTCATAGCAAAAGAAAACACAAGGCTTTCCTATATGTCTAATCACAGCCATGCACAGACTATCTGTGGGATAGGGAGTAGAAAATAGTTGTGCCTTGTGTTTCCTCACCCAGCTGCAGCTTGTAATCTCGTTTGGCTTGCTCTCTGAAGAGTGAAGATCCTTGCAGCTTTTAAAAAACGAAGTCTAGGCTTTCTTATTAACAAAAAAATCCTACAGTATTCTGCAGCAATTGCTCCCAATGAGACACTATTGCTATAATAAAATGTGAGGACTGCTTCTACTGAAATTAATAGGAGGTTTGCTGTTGGCACTGAAATCAATAGCATTTGGGCCTTTAATATAGAACAATACGGTTTTCTCTCCAATACTCCAAGTATACTTGGTAGTTTCCATCTTGGAGTAAGAGATTAATTCATGCTCATTCAGTCCTTGGCTTCTCTTACAAGACTGCCCATGGGGGTGCTAGTGTGTACCAAGCTTCCCCATTACATCCAAGAGCATTGTTTCAAACCAGTAGCCAATGACAATGAAATCATGCTATAAAAACTTTTTAAAGACTCATAAAATGCTTGACAGATTCTAATAGCAAGACTTTGGAGAGTGGTGCTTTGTGCTATGGGTTACTGTGCAGCATGAGCAAATGCCTCAGCTTACTCAAAGTTTTGTAATGAATGGTCCTGTAAACCAGTGGGCCAAACTCACTGGCCAGTACATCAAAGCAACAGCTCTCTCAGCAGCTATAGGAGTTCAGTTCCTTTTTGTCAGGGACTGAGTTTTATTTCTCACAAATAAACCAATTTAAAATAAATTCCATATGTAAACCACGTCCTTTCCCCTGACCTGGGATCTCTCACAGGAGACTGTCTGCTCCCTGTGGATCTCACTGCCTGGGAATTAAGAGCCTCTTTACTACATTCTGCTGGAGTTTTCTTCCAACAGACTGGCTTCCAGCCTTCCTAGCTGGCTCCCAGCAGGGTTCCACTCCCAGGCTGTCTGCCTAGGACCTAAGGAGAGCCTCTCTGCTCCTTTTTTCTCTCTGACATGCTCCCTGAACTCAGCCTGCCATTTATATCCCCACAGACCTGACTCTGAGTCACAATCTTCTACAATGTGACCCTGGAACTTATTCCCTTCAGTTGAGAAGGTAGGCTAAGCCTGGCAGAGAGTGGAACTGAGACTGAAACCCCACAGAGGACCAGCTCACCCTGTAATAGTGCCCCTCACTGCCACCCCCTCTCCCCAAAAGACATAATTTTATTTCCTTTGTTTAATTTTCCTGTAGCATCTCTCCCATGGGTTTTCTCTTGGCATCACTTCCCCCCTCCCGCGGCCCCATCATGGATTCAGATTCCAACTACATTCCTCAGCTCTAGTGAAAAGTGGCTTTAGGGTCAGGAGCAAATTTAGCTGTATTCCATCCCTGAAACTGTGAATGATTCAGGGAAATGGAAACCCTCTTTGTCCATAAAGTAAAACCCATGTTGTGCCACATCGTGTGCCCTTTTGTTTCCTCCAGAGTAAAAGAAGCAGAAATGTGTACTGCTGGCCAAAAAGGCTCTTACAGTACTTATTTTTACCCAATACCTTATAAAGACTCCTAGATAAAATAATTACTTTAATTATTCAGACTGGTGTTTTACTTCCATTTCTTTGGTTAGTGTTTCAGATTTATAGGTACGAATATCTACCAGGCTGAGAAACAGATTAGCTGTAACACAAACAATAGATGACCTCATGCTAAAAAATATCTGTTTGGCACAGTTCATCTCTATGAAGGGTTTTTAAATTCAGAGAATCATCGATATATCATAGGCTGTTCCAGCTGCTGTCAAGAGCAGCTATTGCCCTTCATAGACTTTACTGTGCTAATCAACACTCCTTTGCCTCTCCATTCCCCTCCCAACATATTTAGGATGCTTTTCAAGTCATTGGTTTCAATAAGCATTGCTCACTGAATGTGAATGAGAGCACAGTTTGATCCTGTAGTATTTGATTACACTGATTATGGTAAATCAATTTCTGCAGTCACTACCACTACAAAAGATTAGCAAAAAACTAAATTAAAAAAGCATCAGACAGCAATCTGAGGATGGAAGGGATCCAGATCATGGTGAAATCTGCATATGTTATTATTTCTGTATACAGTCTGCTGTGAATAGAGGTGGTCAAGTAATGGGCAACTATTCAACTGATGAAACAAGATTTCACAAGCAGAAAATGAGTCAGTTGTCTATGAACAGTTTATAATTCTCGAATGAATAGGTCTGAAATGATTTGTCACAATTTCTACAAATAATTCTTGACCTATAGATGGTGCATATCCTGTTCACTGCAAATATTCAATAATCAAAATTCAAAATATAAGCCATGATGTTTGTTACCTTTCTTGGATGCATAGTACATTCAGTCCTGTTTCCTAACTGGATGAATAACTCTTAGAATCAAGTGTCCTGTGTGAATACTCACAGTTACAAACTATTCATTCATTTTCTGTGAGTATTCTGAAGTGTATAGTTAAAACTGTTCTTTTCTGTGAACGCTTTTGCCAATAAACTCATTAACGTATTTGCAGAGGGCAAAACAAGGACTAACACAGCAGAAGCAAAGGTTTGAGCATTGGCCTGCTAAACCCAGGGTTGTGAGTTCAATCCTTGAGAGGGCCATTTAGGGATCTGGGCCAAAAATTGGAGATTGGTCCTGCTTTGAGCAGGGGATTGGACTAGATGACCTCCTGAGGTCTCTTCCAACCCTGATATTCTATGATTTAAAAACACAAGTGACATTTTCAGATTTTTTTTTCCAGTATTCAACTCTATCATCATAGATTTTAAAATAATACTCAGATACCATGCAGGTTTTAATAGTCCAGTTAACTTTTCTTTGAGGAAAGTGGGAAGCAGTTATCGTATCAAAACAAAAAAGGGGGGGGGGCAAGGGAGGGAAGAGTATTCTACCGAAGATCAGCCCACAATTTTAAACTTCCCCCACAACAGCAGATATTCCAGTAGACAGCTTGACATACTTGAATAATCCCTCAAACAATGGTATAGCAGATTTCCCAAAACTATGTTAAATATCTAACTTCAAACAAAACCAAGGTTTCTAGTTTAAATCTAGTGAAATGCTCTTTTAGCATTTTCTCCCTATAGAAAGCACTATATTTAGCTAAGGAGCCCCTGGGCTCATGGAATATGAAGATGCTGATTAATCAGTTCAACTGGGAAAAGTCTTCTTCCAAAAAGGAGTTCAAATGGACAGCATTCAGTGGGTTCTACAGCTGCTGGAAACCTTCCTGACTGGGGGAGACACACCCTTATCAGGAATTGGAAGTCCAGAAGTCTATAACAGGGTTAACAAACGCCTGTGTGTTTGAGAGCACATTTTGTTTATAGGGGAAGAAGTAATGAAAGGAGACATCTAGAAACAAAACAAAACAAAAACCCAACATATTGTTTCACCAAAGGGAACCCTGCTGGATCAATGGCTAGTGTTGGCACTAACATGCTTCAGCAAAACCTGAGTCATTGTTGCAGCCGCAAGACTGCCTAAACTCCAGCTTACTCATCATAGGCATAAAACACAGAAGCTAGTACACAGACAAGGATCAGAGAAGAACGGAGGGGATGGAGGGGGGAAAGAATTGCTTTTACTATCTTTCAGATAAAAGCTTCTGTCATTTGAAGTCCATGGATAGGGAAGCTATAAACTGGTTCACTGTTTTACTGATACCTTTCACCTGTCTGATCTTTCATCAGAAGTTCTCCATGTTCCATCATGGTATGGTATTGTTCCTGATTAAGGTCTAGATTTAAAAAGCAGAAAGTATATGGCCTGACAACAGAATTTTGCACTTGTGATTTGTTTAAAGTTAAAAGCTATAGCACTAGGCCTATAGAACTGAGCCTCTTATCCCCATTCTATGGGCTTTCTGATTCTGAAGGGCCCTTGATTTTGATTCTTACATCATTTGAAAAAAACAACCCGAAGTCTTTGCTTAGCTGTGTATGAAAGTGTCTGGTCAGAATAAGCCCAAGCACATATTCCTGCAGTGACAGTTTGTTTTTGTTGTTTGGACACAGTTTGGAACGATAAAATGAAGTTCCTGGCAGAAGCTGTCTGGGCTGCAGTACATTCTCATCTCAAGGGGAGATTGTATTTACCTGCTTGCCATGTAGGTGTACCTACAAAATAAATCATTTTAATTTCCATTATTCTTGACAGCTGTGCGGAAAGGAATTTAACAGAATGCACAATTTAATGGGACACATGCACTTGCATTCAGACAGCAAACCATTCAAGTGTCTCTACTGTCCCAGCAAATTCACCTTGAAGGGAAACCTCACCAGACACATGAAAGTCAAACACGGGGTCATGGAAAGAGGATTTCATTCTCCAGGTAATAACTAGCAAGAAGGTTGTTCTTGCAATGGTTTGAATGAACATATCAACAACACTGTAAAGGGCACAATAACATAGATCTCAGAAGATACAGTTGTTTCTCTGCTTTTGATACTAGAAGTTACTGAACCTCATACTGCTGGGAGATTATATTAGTGAGAGAGATTTATTAAACCACATCTATATTTTCTAAACATTACTCCCCGCCTGACCTGTCACTGTTCCCCAATATCCATCATCTTTGTATCTCCAACTTGTCCAGCACAGGTAGTGCAGTAGATTTTCTCTCTCACTGATAAGTTTGGGCCATGGATGGGAGAGAGTTTGTCGGGAGTCAGTCCTGATAAAACCAAGGCAATCATGGCGGGTTGAAGAAACAATTGGAGGACATAGCTGAGATTATTATATTGACCCTCCTGATTGAAGGTGTAGTTCTATTTTATTATTTATTTTTTTAAAAGTAAAATTTGCAACTTAATTTGGTGGGTTCACAGCTGTTTTTACACCATGCAATCAGAGCAGTGGCCAGGAGGACTTTGTTCCAACTTCATCTGGTCAGGAGATTGTAACTTTTTCCTCCCAGATTTTTACCATGCTGTCATGAGCCATACCTTGGTCACCATAAGATTTGGTTACTACCGCGGTGCTCTATAAGGGGCCACACCTTACACCCTTCGGAAGCTCAAAGCTGGTACAAGATATGGCAGATTTCTTGTTGCAGTATCTCACAGGGAAGCATTGGGCACCAGCTCCCCATGATCCTCACTGACTGCTTATTGGCTTCCAAAGTGTCAGGTTTGACCTGTAAAGCCCCAAATGGTCTGGAATCTTCCCACCTGAGAGACTGCTGGGTCAATAAGGCATGACAAGAGAGGCAGAGATCAGAGGAGGAGCTCAAGCTAGAGCTCCCTCAGTTTACAAGGAAATGAGCATTCATGAGAGTTTTCTCCATTAGGGCCCACACCTTTGAAATCTACTCCCCATCTTGGTCTGAACAATCCACATTTGTTAACCCTTGAAGAATATGCTGCAAAGCCCATTTCTTCAAACAGACATTTGGGCAGAATTGAGGTGGTTGGGGCATGGGTTTCATTTGGGAATCTGGGTTGCAGAGAGATTTTATTAAGTTAGATTTTCTTGATAACTGTCTTTTGAGCTAGGTGGGATTTGTTGGTGTGTTTTAATAGTTGCTAGGATGCATATAGCCTGGAATACATGATTTTAATAATGTCTTAAAATGAAACAGAAGTGGATCCTAACATGTAACAGTTTAGCTGACCTGATATTTAAAATACAGGGTTCCCCCCGCCATGTTTGTCTCTTACAGTACAATGGAGTATAATTACCCATAACTATAAGATGGTTATGTGCATTTCAGTGCATACAGATTCTTCACCCCCTCAGGCTTATCAGCCATGAAACAGATGAGTTTATAAGAGTTGCCGCCAGGCGATAAACCCTTTCAACAAACACAACCTGTCACACAGTAACTGCTGCAGCAATTAGACTGCATGCATTCTGTGGAAGCTGTTGCCAGTTACGGAGGAAATAAAACCAATGGGTGAAATACTGCCCCCACTGAAGTCAATGGGAGTTTTGCTATTGACTTCAGTCGGACTAGGATTTCACTCACTGATTTAAAAAAAAAAAGATGGGCCCAAACTGCAAAGTCGGAATCCTAATTTGAGCTTCCTCACAGTTGGATGGTTTTTGGATCTGAGGTTATAGTCTGGGCTCACTTCTGTTTTCAAACAAGCAGAAGAGAAACATACAGAGCAGATGCTCAGGCAAATATTGAGACAAGACAAATGTGAGTATTGTTATGGAGAGAAAGAAACTAAGACACAGTTCAAAAATATCATCTGATTATGATTTCCCCAGTAATTTAGCAGAAGTACTGAATAATGCATAGCAGGCTTTCAGCACCACTAAATGAGGAAGAGTAAACTAAATGGAGATGTATTATTTAGAAATGATAAGGTCTACCATTTTAATAGCATTGCCTTGAAAACAGAGTTGCCATAAAAGGTTTTTATACCTTTTTTCCTCCCCACAAATGGGCAGATATTAGAACTTTGGTTGTGATGTAGGCTATCAAGATCAAGGTATAGGTAAAAATATGAAAGGGGAAAGAAGTGGGTAAATCTAGTAGCAAAAGTAGTCAACTGGAGGTCAGGACTACTGCTTTTTGTTCCTAGCTGTGTCACTGACAGACTGACAAGTTCAATAATCTATTGTGTGCTTCAGTTTATTCATCTGTAAAAGGGTACAATATGGTACCTCTTTCTATGGTAACTCTTGGGGTGCCAAGAGACAAATGTTTATAAAGTGCTTGGAGCTAATTGGGTTAAGGATACTCTGTAAGGGCCCTCAATGTTTAAATATCCTGCCATCTCACACAAATTGCATTTAAAAAAAAAAAAAATCTAAGCCCAAACCATGCTTTGACTAGAAAGGCAGTATTAAATAAACTTGTTATGTATAAATAGTAACATTTTTTTTAAAACCACCGTAAGGTTTTGGAAGAGGAAGAATTACACTGTCCCAAACAGGTGTCTTGAGAAACTTGGAACAGGAAGAGCCTTTTGACCTTTCCCAGAAAAGCCAAGGGAAAGGAATTTCATTTCATTCTGATGGTGAGAGTGCCAAGGGAAGCTCATGTCAGGAGGAAGAGGAAGACAACTGCTACGAAGCAGAGCAGTACAGTCCTGTCATGTACCATCATGAAAACAACAAGCTGTATATGCCCCGAGATCTGTCTAGCAAACCAGACTACGTGGTGAAAGATTTCAAAGAGTCCTACTGTGATGAGAAGGAGGAAATGTTGCAAGAAGGAGGACTGGAGGAGGGGAAAGGAAATCAAGACAAAGAAGAAAACCAAGAGGAGAGAAGCTTTGCGAATAACAAGGAATGCCTGAGCTTTAGACCCTTTGAAAAGGCCAGACTCAGCCATTCTCTCTCTGATTACCTATACTTCAAACACAGGAAGAACAGTTTAAAAGAATTACTGGAAAGGAAAATGGAAAAACAAGCAATGCTTTTAGGCATCTAAATTGACAACTTTTAAGTTACACTTGGAAACTGAGAACTAGACAGCACAATCATGGCTCTTAACATGAATTGTGATTGCCAAAGATTGGCAGCTTGTAAAAGTCTTTTAGGATGAACAAGCCAAGTCAATACAGATCATTTTAAGGTAAAAAAAATATAGAATGTTGTATTTTCTGGTGTAATTTGACTGCTTTGTTCTTCTGATATACATCAACATTTTCATATGTATTAATTTGATATATAAGCAGGCAATAGGGTGGGTACAGAGGTTTCATTTCCTTTATCTAGGACAATACCAACTTATACACAATTTTCTAGTTATTAAAAAGCAGTGTACTGTAGTGTTTGAGGTATTAGCTGACTAAAGAATATATAAGAACACTTATTTATGCAGGTTTTAAGAGCTCCAAATATGCTAAGTATTTTACAGCATATGCAAAAGTATTGTTAAATATGCATGCATGAAAATACTGTCTGTCATTGATCTCAGAACTAACACAACCAAGAGGTTCTGTGTTATTGAAAATGACTGCTTTAATGCATCTGTTTACAGTGAGAAATGGGAAACAAAATAAGATGAAACTCTAATGTCTTGTCAGATGGGCAACAACTTTATAATTCACACTCTTGTGAAAGGACTAGAATTGGTTCAGAGGCCTTTTTTCTGTGACATAGGGTATAGTAATGTTTTGCTGCATCTCTGTCAGCATGGGAGCATTTAACAATTCTTGAAATTAAATAGCATGGACTGAGCTGATATTTTATTTTATTGTTTGTTCAGGCCAATACATTTGAGGAGCAGCAGCACATTGTATTTGCAAATTTTGCTGTAATTGCACATAAGCAATAAGAATGAGAGAGAATTAATTTAGTTGAGCGCAATGGTGAATTTTTCCCATTAATCTCTCACCTTCATTTTGGAGAGCTGTGCTAATTTGAAATCCAATATCTGAACTGCTTTTGTTTTAAAAGAAATATCAAAACAAAATACCCGTCGCCCTGCCCAAAAACACCCCATAAAAACCCTGGCGTCTGGTACTTCAAATCTCCCTTGATTTGACCCACAAACTTTCTCCCATTAATATAACTGACCAATAGGATCCAGCCCTTTCAAATGATTAATAGAAAATAGAGTTCTACTCAGGCTGTTCTTAATAACTCAGTCCCAAATTTTCATCCTCGGACTCATGTCTTATTATATTGTATCAGGTCCCGGACAGGAAGCACTTTATTTTTAAGCTGTATTAGTAGGTATTCATGCAGTATACGTGGAGTACTTTGACAGAGTACCCTATGTCCTTTTTTCTGGCCACTAGTAAAAGCATTACTCAAAGCACATTCCTTTAAATGTAGAATTTTTTTTTTTTTTTTGACCAGTGCCCTGGTTCCTGTAACTTTGAGAGATATGGCAAAGAGCCCAAAGCCATGCTGTCACTTGAAAGGGAAATGACAACGTTCTAATACCTTGTTAATTAACTATGTACTTTTGAGATACAAAATCAATAACTTAATATGTTTAGATTTACATATGGATACATATATTTTGAAAAATATGTGATAATGATTTTCCCCTTTATTTACCTGTCAAGCCCTCAATTTAGGATTCTGTTTTACCCCTGCAATATTTGATGTCTACAGCACATGAATTTGTTACAATAGACACAACTATTATAGAAAACATATGTTCATGGGTTATTAGGAACACATGCTGATTGTGTCTGTTTCAAAATCTCAGTCTTCTACCACTAAAGGAAACCCTCTTGGGTCACTGAAGTAGTTCTCATGTCCTTTCTGTTTGCCACCCGCTACAGGGAAATACCACTCATTTATGGTGTAGCATGCTGGGTTTGTGCAGTTTGAATCCATAGGAAAAGATATGCTGTCATTTCTGTCCACCTTCCAAGGCCCATGTATGGGACACAATATATAACAAAGATTCTGAATGAGGAGCACAAAAATGTTACTCCTCCAGGAAACTTAAGGATGGCAGATCCATTTCTATAGTGTAATTAACTCTTTCTGCTGTGAATAATTTTAACAATAAAAGCCAGGGTACACCAAATGTGTGTGGAATGCAGGTAACTTTGGGACTAAAATAAATGACCCACCCCTTTCCCAAATGAGGTACATTTGAAAGAACATAAGAACGGCCATACTGGGTCAGACCAAAGGTCCATCTAGCCCAGTATCCTGTCTTCTGACAGTGGCTATTGCCAGGTGCCCCAGAGGGAATGAACAGAATGGGTAATCATCAAGTGATCCATTCCCTGTCTCCCATTCCCAGCTTCTGGCAAACAGAGGCTAATGACACCATCCCAGCCCAGCCTGGCTAATAGTCATCGATGGACCTATCCTCCATGAAATTTATCTAGTTCTTTTCGGAACATTGTTATAGTCTTGGCCTTCACAACATCCTCTAGCAAAGAGTTCCACAGGTTGACTGTGCAGGTATGACCTGCAGACATTCAGTGATGGGTCCATGCCCTTTTATCATATGCATAAGTTGTATGTTTTTTCATTGTGAGACAGTCCATTCTAGTCACTACATTAGGTTTAGGTGTCTATCTTGAAAGCAGCATGGTTGCAGAGGTAGCATGGCCTAGTACATAAAATAACGGGCTTGCATCATCAGACTGCAGTTCTGTTCCTGGCTTTACCACCAGACTACTGGATCACACTGAGCAAGAACTACAGATGAAGAATGCTACTTAAAAGTTAGATATTATTATTATGTCATAAGAGACAAAAGGTCACATGAAGTGCACTGGTCAAAAGACACAAGACAGCAGCTACTCACCGAAACACAATCTCATGCAATATGGGCCAGATTTTTTATAGCTCACTACCCACAGTCAGCCAGATTTTTAAGCGAACTCAGTTCCCAGGTAGGCACCAAAGTAAGTGACCAGATTTTCAAGAGTGCCCAGAGTGGTGGTGAGTGTTTTTAAACATCTAGCCCTGACTGGAGAATGCTGAAATCTGGCCCTGAGCTCTTCTGAAAATTTGGCTACAAAGGTGGGCTGCTGCATTAGAGACATAACTACTGAAATGTTTCAGAGTAGCAGCCGTGTTAGTCTGTATTCGCAAAAAGAAAAGGAGTACTAGTGGCACCTTAGAGACTAACCAATTTATTTGAGCATAAGCTTTCGTGAGCTACAGCTCACTTCATCGGATGCATTCCTCTGTCTGTATCTGTATGAGTTTTTTCATGAAGTTGACAGATTTCCACTCCATACGGCTAAATGCAGTGCCTTGCATAATGACAGGTTTCAGAGTAGCAGCCGTGTTAGTCTGTATTCGCAAAAAGAAAAGGAGTACTAGTGGCACCTTAGAGACTAAGCAATTTATTTGAGCATAAGCTTTCATGAGCTACATCCGATGAAGTGAGCTGTAGCTCACGAAAGCTTACGCTCAAATAAATTGGTTAGTCTCTAAGGTGCCACTAGAACCACTGAAATGTTGGCTCTGGAAGAGGTTGCAACAAAATTACATAGTCTTAGACCCCACCAAATGCAAATGCCAAGTGGGCCCTTTGTAAAGTAAGTCACTGCAACTACATTAGCTCGCCTGGCTGAGTAGCCCAAAGCTTCCAACAACACCTTCATTGTCACCACCGTTCCCCTTTCCTGCTCATATAATCCCATTTCCCCTCAGAACAACAGTGAGATGCAGTCCTGTAGCTGAAAGGAAAGGATAGTCTTCCCCAAAATGGCATTACCATTTGGGAACCAGCAATATGGTTTGAAACCTGTTGTAAACCCCTCTTCTCACAGCTGTCCCAGAAAGCAAAGACCACCACAGTTTTCTTCCCATGAGGTTCTCAGGCAGTCCCAGTCTACTCATTCCCTCAGCCATCAACCACCCAATACTAATTCATCTTAGATCTATAAAGAACTCAGCCAAAGCATCCATGAATCAGAGAATGACAGAGGAATTGCAAACAAAAACATTACTGATGTAATGATAAGGGCATGGCACAAAGTGACAAAAGCAAAGAGATGCAGAAAGAATAGTCCATCTATAGATGCCTCCATACTGCAGGATATAGCGTAGCTGGAACTGTGAAATCTGCCATATGTGGGTCCAAAGGAACAAATTAAGGAGAGTCTCCATTATGAAATGCCTTGCTTTTCTTTTACTTGATCTTCACTTTGCCATTTTTGAAGGATGGTTATTAAGAGTCTTTAATAGTTTTAAAATTTCTTGTAGAAATAAAAATTGCACTGACAAGGAAGGTATTTTCCAGATCTAATTTCTATGTGCTCAGCTTTAATCATCTGCTCTGCCTACAGGCATGGAACTGCTCCAGGTTTAGATTATAAAGGAGGCCTACGGTGCAAGGTGGCACAGAAAGCTTCACTTTATTCATTTTCTATAATCTGGATCTTTATAATTGTATGATATTTTAAAAACATTTTAGAGGATGCCTCAGTGTGGCCTCTACCTGATTTTGCCACACTGCCTCAGTGGCTACTTTGGCACAACAGGTCAAATTAAAGCTCAGCCACCATGAAAGCTATAGATCCAATTAGGTCATCCTGGTTTCCTTGGTTATTACTGGAATCCAATTCCACCCTTCAGAACTGATTAATAGTGAGTTCAAAGTGTCTATAAATTTACTTCACTGAAATTCTTTGAAGAGCACTTGCTCAAGGAACTCCATAGAAGCCTGCTGAAGAATGGTAGATTGGCAACTTCATCAGGAGTGTGGGCAGAAGAGGGGTCAGGACAAATACAGGTTATTAATAGGTAGTTTTACTATTGGGGCAGCACTGGGATGTTTGAGTTCTACAAGGTACTGTACAGAGCAGAGTAAGCAAGCAAGCAACAAATTCAAGTATCAAACTAAACTCAGGATGAAGAGCTATGGCACATCCACTGAGAAATTTGCATTATTGATAATGTGCTGCTGCCTGAGCAAGCATTGAACTTTGCCTTGAAGAATTTGGTAACATCTTTTATGGACTCAACTTTGCAGGCTGCTGAGCGTCTCCTAGAAGGGCTTTACCATTCACTTCCTGGCTTTTATAACATGTTAGCTATAGCTTGTTTATCAGACAGGCCAAGTGGTCTTCTGATGCTGCCACCACATTCCTCTTTTTAGAGCTCTGTGCCAGTTGTGTAGCCAATTTTCTAATCTCATTATTCATCTGGTGCTGCTAGACTCAGGTGCAGCTGGTGTATAATTAAGAAGTGTAATGTAAGTACTGTATTTATTGTGCCAAAAAAGTATTTAATAAAGTATTAACATGTTTTTTCGTAGTAAGTTGTGTCTGCTTAGCTGAACAAGATGTAACAGCGCTAACATTTTGTACTCAGCAGATTTGGAAAAAACATTGCAGTAGATGTTTATTTCATAGAGAATGCTGGTTTGCTGTTTAAAGACAAAAACTCAAAAGAATGAACCAATTAAAGTTGTGAATGTTCAGCTTGCAGCACTATATCTCGATGGCAAAAGCAGTTCACCTGAAAATAACATGTCAATTGTATTTTGTTAATTTAAGCAAATAAAGATATACGGAAGATGCTGCTGTAGTTCTTGTTAAACCATTGAAGCCCATCAGGAAGTAAACAACTAAACATAAACATGTTGTACAATAATGCACACAGTGTACTCGGACCCTGATCTGCCAGGGAAGGGCCTCACTTTACTCCACAGTGACTCCTCCTGGCCACTGAAAGTATTAGAGACTCTCTGACTGTTCTGAAGGCCAGAAGCACCATGGTTGTGATGAGATACCTACAGGAATGGAGGAGAGGTAAATGGGGAGCAGAGGGAATAGGACCTTCATAATTCCTTCAGTTATGTGGAACACCTCATCATCACAGACTGCAGAGAGAAAATTATACAACGCTGTTCTTATTTATTATTTAATTACTGACAATATGCTCAGCCCTGTACAAGACACAAAAGAAAGATAGTCCTCACCCCCAGAGAATTTACAATCAAAGGTTCAATCCTGAAAAGACTTCCACACTTGCTTAAAGATAAGGTTAAAGCATGCGTGAAAGTCTCTCCAGGTTCAAGGGCTAAATAAGTAGACTAAGCATGGACAGTGAAAATGCTATGAGAAACCCAGAGGATGGTTATACTGTAAACCATCACTTTAATTAGGCTGTTAGTTTTTCTTTTTTTCCGGTGGGATGCTCAGAGCATTTTTAGAGACCAGGGTTAGTGCTTGCAGACTTTGCAGAGCCTGTTTAAGGAGTGACTTGAATGGAGAGTTGATGCCTGTCATGCTATGCACAGAAGGAGTTCAAACAATGAAGAAAAACAAGAACAGGTATGTTTCAGAGTGGCAGCCGTGTTAGTCTGTATTCACAAAAAGAAAAGGAGTACTTGTGGCACCTTAGCGACTAACATTTATTTGAGCTGTACCTCACGAAAGCTTATGCTCAAATAAATTTGTTAGTCGCTAAGGTGCCACAAGTACTCCTTTTCTAAGAACAGATATGTTTGTGTTCTGACTGTCAGAGGAATAAGTTTATTCTATGGTGATTTAGAAGTCTAATATCCCTTAAAATGTGGGACTTATGCATATGACTCTCAACAATATAAATCTAGAGAGCTCATAGATCAGAAGCAAA